ATCAGAATAAAAATTTACCTAAAAATGAGTTTAACAGACAATACAAATCCTAAAGTGTCCATAAAGATATTTAAAAACTCACCTGTAGTTTCTCTCTTGAGTGATATAATCGAAATAGCAGGCCTGTCTGAACCCTGAGCTTAATAAACAAACCAAACCAAACAAACTGCCTTCAGTTAGATCCGACTCATAGTTGGATCTGTTTCTGAGGCAGTATCTCCAAGGAGTGGCTGGTGGTTTCCACCAGCCTTCTGGTAAGCAGTCAAATGCCTTAGGCACTACGCCACCAGAACTCCTAATAGAAAGGTTCTCTTTGAAGCTCCAGTAGAGGCGTTTATCTGTTCCTGTCTACTTACGTTTTAAGAGTCAGTCTGTGCGCCTGCTGAAGTGAGGATTCCTGGCTTCCACCTGTTTGTTGTTGTTGTTGTTTGCCGTCAGTCAGCCCGACTCATAGCGACCCCTCCTTGGGTTTCGAAGTGGTATCACTACGGAAGTATATTGCCCAACCTTCTTTCCGAGGAGTGGCTGGTGGGTTTGAACCACCAGCTTTCTGGTTAGCAGTCAAGTGCCTTAGGCACTGTGCTACCAGAGCTCCCACCTAGAACTTGACAAATAAGAATCACTGGTGGTATTATCTGGAAATCTGCACTTTTAACAGATCTCCCAATGATTCTTATGCCCACAAGCTTGAGAGTCATTGAGGATAGGGATGCATTCAGAAAATCTGACCTCCAGACAAATCAGTATCACCAATAAAAGTCTAATCTCTTTGCTCCCACAGACTAGCAGCAATTTGTCTCATGAAAAGAAAAGACTTCGTGGAGCTAGAAGAAGATGCCTAGGCAGCTATTATTGCTGTCATTCAGGCCATCAAGTTGGAAGGCCAGTTGCCTGTGAGCTTGTTCTTGAGCTAAAGTAGACACCCCCAACCTAAGTCAGAGGTCACTAGTTGGCAGTATCCTGTAGCAGATGGGACTTGATCCCATCTCTGGGTTACCTAATGCTGCTATAATAGAAATACCACAAATGGATGGCTTAACAGACACACATTTATTCTCTCAGTTTAGGAGATTAAAAAAAAAATGACTTCGATTCTCTATGCCTTCTTACAATTACCTTGATATTCTTCACGCACATATAAGGGGAGCACTAAAACAACTGGCCCATAATTTATCAGCCTACCCAGATCAGACCGTTGTATTGGTTTAGGGATAGTTCACAAATGTGAGTGCTGTTTCTCTCACAAATTAAGAGTTATTTTTTTATGGGCATCATTACTAAAAATGAGAGCATGGAACTTATCAGGGACTCCTGCTGTAATTACAAAGCTTGGGGAATCAGGAGAGAGACATGAAGTCACCAAGCCACTGGCCAGAATTCCACAGCAGAAACATAATGACTTCAGGGCAGAGCAAAACCCTGGGCCAAACACTGGGTTTCATGTTTTCATTGTAACATGCTAGTCTAAAATCTCACAAGGAGTAAAGAAAAGGATTCATCGGATAATAAACACAATTCCAAAATTCACATAGCATTATAATCCACTGTCATGGCGTCAATTCCAACTCATAGTAAATTCTAAAAACGACTGTGATCAAATATTAGAACTAAGCTGGAAAAGGCTCACCTAGTTGTTTAGATTTTGTTTTTCCATTTTTAAAACTTCTCAGGCACTATCAAAAAAAAGCTTATACCCATTGTGAAATGCCAGATCTCAACACTTGAGTTATTATTTTGATCAGTATGATTATTAAAGTTAAGATTTCAGTGTCTCAAGGCCATCTTTATTTAGCCCTTAAAACAAAAACAGAAATGGAGGGGGGGAAAAAGTCAGTTTCTTTCCAAAAAAAGAGTTTATTTTGAGAAAGCCTTTATTGCACATCATTGAATGGGTTTGTACTTTAAATAAATACTACACAGAACCAATATGCATAATGTGAAAAACTATGCAACTTCTAATCAGCAGCCTGGAAGCAGGAGAGACTAAGAACTTTATTTCTGTATCTTTTTAAGGCACACATTGCCCACTTATTTTTAAATGATTAGCATAATTATTTTCCCAAATATTTTAAATGTAAGTTAGAGAACTTCTTCCCATGAAACAAGTCCAGCCACCAAAACAGGGTACAGTACATCACATAGTTTTTAGAAGGCTGCACAAGTACAGATAAAATGATCATTGTTGCATTGAATATGTATTTGACATTTGGTTTAATTTTAACATGTATATAAAATACTCTTTGAATCTTGTACTTTAACACTGAAGGAAGAAAGGAAACATTTATAAATGAATACTAGAAAGCATGATCCTCTCCAGAACTAAAAGCAGAACTAAGATAGCAGTTCAAGCACTAGTCAACCAGCTGGCAATGTTTTTTTTTTTTGTTTGTTTGTTTGTTTTTTTAATTTATTTTGTTTAGTATAGGTGAAAGTTTACAGAGCTCATTAGTTTCCTATTTGATAGTTTGTACATAAAGCATTCCATGACATTGGTTGCACTCCACACGTGTCAGCACTCTCTTAATTTGCTTTCTTGGTTCCTTGTTTCCTTTTCTACCCCTTCCTGCCTTCTCATCTTTGCTTTTGGCCAAATGCTGTCCTTTTGATCTTGTATAATAGAGTTTAAGGAATATGTTCCACTCAGATGTTACTGTGGATCTTATGGGCCTGTTTGGCTGAAAGGTGGTTTCTGGGAATGGCTTCAGTTCCAGGTAAGAAGGTGATCTTAGGTCCATAGTCTTAGGGGTTCCTCCAGTCTTTGTCAGACAAATAAGTCTGGTCTTTCTTGTGAATTTGATTTTTTATTCTACATTTTTCTCCTGCTCTGTCCGGACCTTTCTGTTGTAATCCCAGTCAGATTAGGGTAGTGATAGCCAGGTACCATCTAGTTCTTCTGGTCTCATGGTCAGATAGGCTGTGGTTCATGTGGTCCATTAGTCCTTTGGACTTATCAACCTTGGACTTGTCAGTCTCAGCAGCCAGCAGCTGTCTGAGTGAAGAAAAGACTCCAGCTCCAGTGGGCCAGGAGCAGGAGGCAGAGCTGAAGCCCAAGATTGAGGGGCTTTCACCTAGCCCCTAAAGCCTGGCACTTTGAACTCAGACTTAAAGCCTCCAAACTGTAAGCAAATAAACTCTTGTTTAGTCAAGCCATCACATTTGTGGTATCTTCTGTTAGAGTGACACTTGGTAACCAGAACAGAATATGGTACTGAGAGAGTGGGGTGCTGCTCTAACAGATACCTAAAATGTGGAGCAGGACTGGAGTGCATCCTTGACATGAGACCCTGGCAGAGAGATGCCGGCATGCAGCATGAGAGATGACAGAAGCAGAGACCAGAGACCTGCATGAGACAATGACAGCCGTACCAACCCACAGAGGAGAATGCTGGATGCCATTGGATAGGTGGCTTCCTGGCAAAGTGGGTTGCCTTTGGGCATTAATTCTACCAGAGTGGGTAGAAGAGACTGGCGTGAAATGAAGTAGCAGGTTGGCTGACCCATGGAGCAAGAAAGTTGAGTGCTTTTGAGGCAGGAAGATTTCTGGAGGAGTTGGTTGCCTTCGGCATTAACTGGCAGAAGTGGAGAGACTAAGGAAACAGGAAGCAGAGCTGCCTCAGCCTCAAGGGTAGGACCATGGCCTTTTTGGGGGTGGAACTACCATAGTGCCCTAGGTTTCAAAGAGCCAGAACTTCACCAACTTGGTTCTGGAGTGTGGGGGTGCTAGTTCATGTGGACCAGTGGGATGGAGCCATAGCCACTGCCCAAGAGTAAGGGGGCAGGGCTGCCATACCCAAGAGGGAGTGGAAAGGAGTCCACCAGGCCAAGGGGGTGAGGTCGCCACTCAGGAACTAGGAGACTGGAGCCACCCAGTGAAGGAGATCTGTACAGATGTCAACCATTGAAGATCTGTACAGGAAACAAGTTGACAAAGGGTAGAATTGTGGTAGTTAAAGTTGTGTGTCAACTTGGCTGGGCCTGGTTGAGTGGCTGAGCAGCTGGTGGTAGTTATACCCTATGATGAGACTGGCAATCAATTCCATGGTGGGATCTACCACAAGCAGCTGAGTAGCTGCTTTAGGGATGAGCTCTGCTTCCTGTATAAGCAGCACCTTTGGGAATGGTCTCTAGCTGATGGCACGCTTGAATCATGCCTGTAGCCGTGTCATTGTTCAGCAGCTTGCCATGCTCTGCCAGCCTTGGGACCTTCAGTGGACTTGAATTAATGGCTTGTCATGTGGTTTGGTAACATCGGGACTGTGCCTTGGGCTTGTCAGTCTCAGCAGCCAGCAGCTGTCTGAATGAAGACAAGACTGCAGTTCCAGTGGGCCAGGAACAGGTGGCAGAGCTGAAGCCCAGGTTGAGGGGCTTTCACCCAGTCCCTGGAACCTGGCACTTTGAATTCGACTTAAAGCCTCCAAATTGTGAGGGAATAAACTCCTGTTTGTTCAAGCCATCCCATTTGTGGTATATTCTTATCAGAGCAGCACTAGGTAGCCAGAACACATATCTATGTATATATGTATCCATTTGTAAATTATTGTTTGTTAATACTATTGTTGCAAGATTGTCTATGTTATAGTCTCCTAGTTGCCCTTTATTCTTGTGTTCCTCTCAGTGTCTTCCTCTGCCTTGGGCATGTTGTGCTGGCTTCCTCCATATTGTGTACTGGTTTTCCCTTAACCATTATTAACATGTGTGTTCTATATAGTTAGTAATTTTCCCTCCTTCCCCCTCCCATTTCTGTTTTTTTTCTTTTTTAAAAAATCTTGTCCTTTAAGATAAGATTTTAAAATGCAGTTATTGCTGGATATACAGCAACCACCTCCACGCTCTCAGGGATGGTGCAGCCAGGGTCAGTGAGCTGTCTGAAGTCACTGTCAGACCAGGGTTTGTTTTCTATTGATGATATGATCAACAGTCAGAAGAATAACTGTAAGAGGTACAGAGGGCATAAACAACACATTCTAAAGCTATGACAAAATAAGAAAGGACAAGAATCCAAAAGCTCTCCTTAAGGAAAATTCTTAAACAAATATAGCACAAAGATGCAAAAGTTGTTAAAAAGTCATTTTTTAAAATATAAATATAGTTCTGGGTGAAATACAGATATCCATTAGCTCAAATAATAGATGGTAACTGAACATACTAGACCTGATTTAAAAAATCCATATAGTCTTCCCAATACAACTACACATCATATTTTCCTGTAGAGTACAGATAAGCTTGATAGCTACTTTCTACAACAGCAGAATAGAGATACTGGAGGGTCATCGTCTAATCTGTATTTTCCAGAGTTGGGTAGATCTTTGCACTCTGATATAAAGGTACGAAGTTCAGTCTCTGGGAAGCCATTTTGTTGGTAATGCTATACAGAAAAATAAAAGAAAGCTCTCATTAACAATCTTCTTGAGAACAGCTTTATTCCATACTCAAAATGGATTATTTGGCAAGGTGTTGTTATTTGGCAAGGTAGAGAGATCTTTATCAAGAGATAGTTTAGTTACTTTCAAGTATTTTCAGGGAGATGTAGCCTCTAGGATGTCTCTATGTAGCACAGGTGGTTTGTGCTTGACCATTAACCTAAAGGCTGACAGTTTAAACTCAACCCACTCAGTGGCACTATGGAAGAAACATCTGGTGATTTGCTTCTATAAAGATTACAGTCAAGAAAACCTTATGGAGCAGTTCTACTCTGTAACACATGGGGTTACCCTGAGTTTGACTTGATGACAATGGTTTTTTTTATTTTATTTTTTGGTAGCCTCTAGAGCTACTCTTAGGCTTTAGCTGAAGCAAAGTGGGCCTACGATTCTGCAGTCACCCTCCTGGGCACCCTTCTCTAAGTCTGATTCAACCTAAAATTGACATGTTGAGTCTGAGGCTGGACCCTCTTCCAGGGGATAATTGAACCAGCCCCATGAGAAGTGAGAGAACTTCTGTCACCACTCTGTCCTCCAACCCATGACTTCCAGGCCAGTCTGAAACAAGTGTCTCAAATGGAACCTGGTTTAGATCGGAAAGCAGCTCGACTCATCCAGATTAACAGTGTGTGTGTGTGTGCGTGTGTGTGTGCGTGCACGCACACGCCTGTGCATGCATGTGCATGGGAGGTGAGGGTGGGTAGAGATAGGCATACTTAGCCCTCCCCTGAAGACTTCAGCATAGTCTTGGCTGCTCCTGGGCTGGTCCCGCTGTCTGGTCAAAATGCTGAATATTATATTATAAGGTACCTTTCCAGCCTGCATACCCTTTTATTATGAGCAGATAGGTTTGTTAAAGGGCCTCATATTTATATCAGTTTAGGGTCAAAGATCTGTAGCTCTGACCAGAAAGGATTATAAATAGCTTAGCTTGCCCATCTGGCAAGTGCGCTGAGTCCATGGAAAAAGATTAACATCTAAAATACCATCATATGAATCTGAGATTTGCGTCTTCAAAAATCGTCAATTCTGTTACTCCGAGGGATCTTGGATGTCACCCTCAGATAACATATGGTCCTCCACATGCAGAGTTAAAGAGAGTGAATTTTTGGAGAACTATGGTGAAGAATCTTGGCAGTTTTAACTACATTCTTTCCTAGTTGCCCTGGTGACCTAAAGCATACACCTGCCAGGCAAATGCTGAGGAGAAGGAGGACAGCCAGTGTCTGAAATCTACCTCAATAAGAATGAAACCATGGCTCTGGCTTCAAGGATAAGGTATTTGTAATTACTGACTCTAAACCATGACCTTCTCTTTATTCCTAGCGTCAATCACCTAGCATTATGTTTCATTTCCCCTTTCATATGCAGAAAGAAAAGTTCCCAAGTAGAAGTGTCTATAACAATATCATACCTAACAGTATAAGGTTATCAGGAACTTAAATATAGAGAGATGTTTACTCTGCCCTCCCATATTTCAAGGGGCTCTATCTGATTTTTAAAGGATCTCATATTGAATGACAATAGCTTTTACTATCGGATTTCTAAATGTAGACAGGATACATGGCTAGTACTTGCCACACAAGCATATCCATCTCTTTACAGTTCTGGAGGCTGGACCCTTGGTGTTGTACTGTGCAGGACCTCACAAAGCTTAACAGGTTAAGTTACAGCACACCACTTCACTCCAAGTAAAGAAGCAAACATTTCTTTATGAAAATTGGATTTTAAAAGTTCCGCATACAATTTTGGGGAACTGAAACACCATCTGTTTTACCCACCCAATACCTATTGGCTCATATCATTCTAATAAAAGTTTTAAAAGCTTGCTTTAAAAACCACAATTATTTAGAGACCAAACTTTCAATATTCTAGAAATTCTATTTCTCTTTAATTTCTTGTTTCTCAATCGTCACCTCAAACAAATTAACATTCCATCAATTTCCTCCCCTCCTAGATAGTTACTTTTATTGTCACTATACAAGTTTAAGAAGAAGGCTGCTACTTATAGCTCTTAATAAACCTACCTTAATTGTTTCATATGTATCAGTAATTAGTGCAATGAAAAGACTTAAAATCATGTATATGAAAAGGCTGATGAATGTGTAGAGGTAAATTCTGCTAAACAGCCAGACCAAGTAACTTTTCTGCTGCATTTTTGCAAATGTGGCAAACATGTCATCTCCATTTATCAGAGAGAACAGGCATTCAGAGACCATGTTTAGAGAACGGAACTAGAAAAAGAAAAGAGATAAAAGTTCCTTTTAGTCCATGTCTCATCCCATTGGAGACTTTGTTCACGATACCATATTAAAAATAATGGGGCCCAATATCCCAAGCTACCCCTTACCAATGAATAACTGAGGTAACCACAAGCATTTGCTTTGTCAGGCACATGACATGTATACCGCTTTCCTGGGATAAGCTGCTCCTTCTTGATGCTCCTCTTAGTAGAAGTAGCCTGAACTGAGGGCAGGAAGGGCTGGCCTGCACTCTCAGTGCTTTTCTGAGCCAACTCTTACTCCTTTCCTTTGAGTTCAGAGAAAAAGATCTTTGAAATGCTTCTGCAGAGATACTCAGGTACCAACCATATGTGCCACATTTCTCATTTTAAAGTCCAGTTACTTTAAGGCAATAGTTTATTTGAGACTAGTGTTGTTGTTGTTAGTTGCCATGGAGTTGGACATAGGACACTGCCTGGTCCTGTGTCATCGCCATGATCAGTCATGGATCAGAACTCAGCAATCCATAGGGTTTTCTTTGGCTGATTTTCAGAAGTAGATCACCAGGCCTTTCTTCCTACTCCATCTTAGTCTGGAAGCACCACTGAAATCTTTTCAGCAACACACAAGCTTCCACTGACAACTGGTGGTGGATGCAAATGAGGTGTGTTGGCTGGGAATTGAATCCATGTTCTCTCACATGGAAGCAAGAGTTCTACCACTGAACTACCAGTGTCCCCTATTTGAAATTATATTTAAAAAAAAAAAACGCACAAGTTGATTTTGACTCATAGTGACCCTACAGGACAGAGTATAACTGCCCCATAGGGTTTCCAAGGCTGCAAATCTTTACAGAAGCAGACTGCCACACCTTTCTCCTACAGAAAAGCTGGTGGCTTTCAACTGCAGACTTTTTGGTTAGTAGCTGAGCACCACTGTAGACAATTTTGAGACTATTGTTGTTGTTGTTGTTATGTGCCGTCGAGTCGGCCCCGACTCATAGCGACCCCTCCTTGGGTTTCTGAGGCAACTATAGTTCTAGTTAAAAAAATTATAAAATATTATCTTTAAGTGTCTCCCTATACTACTTTTTACCAAGTCACATTTTGAGAAGGCTTATCTAAATAGCCTGCTCTCACACAGAGAGCAGACCACCCATCTGTCAGTGTGCCATGCTGTGGTGGCTGTATGTTGCTGTGATGCTAGAAGCTTTGCCACCAGCTTCATAAAGCAGCGGGTTCACCCATGGTGGGCAGTTTTCAGTAGAACTTTCAAACTAAGATAAACTAGGAAGAAAGGTCTGATGATCTACTTCCAAAAATTAGCCAGTGAAAATTCTCTATATAACATACACTTGAACTGTAGTGTTGGCAACAAATATTGAACATACTGCAGACTTGCAAAAGAATGAGTAAATCAGTTTCAGAAGAAATAGAACAAGAATGTTCTTTAGAAGTAAGGATGGTGAGTCTTCAGCTTGCTTACTTTGAACATATAATCAGGAAAGATCAATTGCTAGAAAAGAACATGTCCTCAGTGAGATGGACTGACACAATAACTGCAACAATGAACTTAAACATTCTAGTTATCATGAAGATGGCACAGAACCAGGCAACATGTTGTTCTGTTACACATAAGGTTGCCGTGAGTCAGAGAAAATTTAATGGCAACTAACAATGACAACAGTATATACTGATGAACCAAATTGACTAAACATAACTTTGCTGGTGGTAAAAAGCATTTAATTATCTGACATATTCCAAAAAAGGACTTGAGGCAGTTTAATGAATCAATTATTCTCTCAACTTGGACATATACTACCAGCTTATAAATATGGCAATAGACACAGTGCCATCAACATTTTAAGGTTAAGTCACAAAGTAAAAGGAGTTAATTTTTAAAGGATAACTGGATGGAAATATTTGGAAATAGATAGTGATGATGTTTGCACAACATGATGAATGTAATTAATGCCACTGAACTGGACATGTGAGAAATGTTGAAATAGCAAATGTTTTGTTACACATATAATGACTACAATAAAATAAATTCAAAATTTTTTTTTCAAAAAATGGATAACAAGCCACTGGCATTACTCTAAGCCCTTTTGTAGTAACAAGGATACAAGTTGTTTATCAGTACCTTATCATGGTAAGGGCCCAGCACAATCCATCCACAGAAGCAATAGCCTAAATAAATCATAGCTGCACAGCAGCAGAACCTGATGACATTGGGCAGTGCTGCCTGAAGGGTCAGAATTAGGAGCTGGAGAAATAAGAGAGGTGATTAGAATCCTTCTTGTCTTCAGTGAAAGCAGTGCAATAACTGAAAGAGAAATATCAACAGCATAGAGATCTAAGGAATTCCTTACATTGTATTTCTCAAAAAAACCGAGGTATCGGATGACTCCAAGCCACACAAGCATGGTAGAAGTCCCAAGAAGGATGCTACAAACATCATAACTTGTTAGACTCTAAGACAGAGTGGGGGAAAAAAGAAATATATATATATTAGATCATATAAGAGAATTCATTCAGGCAAAATATTTATTGAGTAGCTATGGGCCAGGCACTGTTCTAGGTGAATAGAAAACATTCCCTGCACTCATGAGGCTTACATTCTACTGAAGGAAGAGAGATAATAGAAAAAAATAATAAAATCTTTGGTACATTAGTTGGTAATGAGAACTGAAAAGTGAAGGGAGGTGTGATAGTTGGAGCTGTGTGTCAACTTGGCTGGACCACAATTCTATGTGGTTTAAGCAATTGTGATGTGGGTTGTTCCAGTGATGGGATCAGATGTATATGCTTTGGGCAGCTAATCCACTGAAAGGCAGTTTCCCTAGGGATGTGGCCCATTTCCAGTATATTTATGGACATCCTGGGAAAAGAGACACTCTTCTATGGATTGGGATTCTGACGTACTGCCTATAACTGTCTGTGAGCAAACAATCCACCATTTGCCTGGAGATCTTGGATTCATCATTCATTGGAGTCAACAGCTGGTATACTGCCTGCCAACCTTGAGCTCCTCAGCCCCTGCAGCTGCGTGACTCAGGAAAAGCCTGCAGCTTGATGTTTGATCCAAGAACTTTGGACTTGCCACCTTCTATAAGCGTGTGAGCCATTTTCCTAAGATAAATTTCCCTTTCTCTCTATATATAAGCTTTACTGCTTTTGTTTCTCTAGAGAACCCAGTGTAACACAGGAGGTAATAGGAAATGGGTATGGGGTTGCAATTTTCAGTAGGGTGATCAGGGAAGGACTCACTGAAAAGTGAGGCAGCAAGCCAAGCAAAAAACTAGAGTAAGAGCTCTTTAGGCACAGGGACTAGGAAGTGCAAAGGCCCTGAGGCAGGAAGGTATCTGGTAAGATAGTCTGGCTGGACTGGAGTGATTGATGGAGAGGTTACAGAGAAGAGGGGGCACATAGTATAGGGCCTCCTGGATACTTTAACAACTTTGCCTTTTACTCTGAATAGATTGGGGAGATTTGAGAGCTTTGAACAGAGGAATGATACATGATCCAACTTTGGCTTCTGCGGTAGAGAGAAAATTGTCGGATACTGAGAGTGATAAGTGGGAAGCCAAGTGATGGGGCTACTAAGATAATACAGGTGAGAACTGACAATGGCATCCACCTGGAAATGGAGAGGTCATGAGGTGTTTTTTTGTGTTTTTTTTTTTTTTTTTAATGAACATGTTAGATAGAAGAGAGGTTTTATAGATTTTTGATGTAGCTTTATATGTTTACCCTGCTTTAAACAGCTTCTGTACACAAACCAAAGCTGGGGTGAAAATGAACCATTATGTTATTGTTGTCAGTTGCCATCAGGTTGGCTCCAACTCAGGGTGACGTTATGTATAACAGAACAAAATGTTGCCCAGGCCTGCACCATTTTCCTGATTGCTGCTACATTGGAGTCCATTTTTGCAGCTACTGTGTCAATCCATCTCCTTGAGGGTTTTTCTCATTTTCACTGGCCCTCTACTTTACCAAACAGGATGTGCTTTTCTGACAACTGGTCTTTCCTGATGACATGTTGAAGTGCTTTGCTTTTAAGGAGCATTCTGGTTGTATTTCTTCTGGTGTATTGAACTATTATTATGAAATCCCTTTATTGTATGTACCTCTTGTGCGTCTCTCCTTTACCTTAGTGTTACTGTGCTGGTCACTCACTTTTGGTATATTGCCTCTCCCTTCACCCAAATCAATACATGTCAATGAGGTCATTTTTGAAGGCAGATTAACAATATTTCCTCTTGGATTAGACATGGGGGAAGGGAGATTAGAGAAAGAGGAGTCAAGGATAATTGTATGCTTTTTGGCTTGAGAGACGGAAGAGAGTTGTTATTAATTGAAATGACAAAGGCTGTGGGAGAAGCAAGTTTGGACTGTGGGGGTGGAGATTCTAAGAATTCTGTTTTAGGTATGTTACATTTGAGAGGCCAAACAGACATCCAGTGGAGACATGGAACAGACAGTTACATATTTCAGGGAAGAATTTCAAACTGGAGAAATAGATGTGGGAATCATTGGCATACAGGTAATATTTAAAGTCACAGCACTGGATGAGGTCACCAAGACACTGAGTGTAGATAGAAAAGAGATCTCCAAGTACTGCATCTTGTAGTACCATCACCATGATAGGTTGGGGAGATTAGGAACAAGCAAAGGAAACTCAGAGGAACAGACAGTAGTTTAGAAGGATAAACAGGTTAGTGGGGCAGCAAGTGGAAAATAAAAAAGCTTCAACAAAGAGGGCAGTATTAAAAACTTCTGATAGGTCAAGATGAAGGTAAATAATTGATTATTGGATTTAGTAGCATGGAACTCATTGCGGATCTTGACAAAAACACTTTCCATAGAGGACATGACAGTCTGATTGGAGCAAATAAAAGAGAGAATGGGAGGAGCAGAATCAGAAACAAGATTAACTGCTCCTTTGAGGCCACTTGCTATATAAAGAGTGGTTGGCTGCAGGAAGAGATAGGGTAGAGATTTTATCTTTTTAAAAGGAGAAAAAACAGGGTAGTGGCAATGACCTGGAAGAGAGAGGGAAACTGATGATGCAGGAGAGAAGACCAGCTGGAGCTGTGACCTTGAGTAAGCAAGAGGGCATGGCATCTGGTAGGGAAGTGGTGGAGCTGGCCTCAGACAGTAGCCTAAATAATATACCCACAGTAACAGCAGAGAAGAGAGAGTACATGGGCACTGGTGGTAGTAGGTAGGTAAATGAGAGGGGAGTTGGTGAAACCTCTATTTTTTTCCAATGGTTCTTGTGAAACAGGAAGTAAGGTCATCCCTGAGACAGAGGATGAGATGGGGTGTTAGAGGTTTGAGAAGAAAACAGATGAAATAGTTATCTATGAGACACGGGGAGTGAATAGTTGAGAAAAATGTAGAAAAATTGTAGGATACTATTAAGGGCTCATTGAGGATAGTGATATTTGAGGTAGATCAAAATAAAAATTTGCTGCAAATATTCCCCTGATGCCTCCTTTTCTTTTACAACACCCCCCAAAGTGTGCATGGAGGGTCAATGAAAGAGAGGAAGGCCCTCAACAAGATGGACTGATACAGTGGCTACAGTGATGGGCTCATGTATAGCAAGGATCATGAGGCTGGCACAGGACTAGGCAGTGTTTCATTCTGCTGCACATGGGGTAGCTCTGAGCCAGAGATGACTCGACGGCACTAACAACAACAACAGTAAAGTTAAAAACCTCTTGTAATGATACATGCTATTGCCACATGTGGTGGAAGCTGTTTCACGTTGACCTAAACCTACTGTCTTCTTCCTAGGCACGTGCCTAGCTGCATTTCCTAGTTCTCCTTGCAGTTAGAGATGACTAAGTTTTCTCAATGAAATGTGAACAGAAACAATGTCTGCCACTCTGGAGCCAAGAGACTATAAGGCTTAGAGAATATCTACCATACCATGTTTTCCCTTACACCAGGCTGCACCCTGCCTGTGAGGTGATTCAGTTTCAATCATGCAGTCTGGGAAAGTCCTTCAAAATAACAAGATGGGAGGAACAAACTTGGGTACATGAATAACTATGTGGAACCAAGCCACTCATAACCTTGGAAAATCCAACCCCTGAAAAGTGATCACCTCCAACTGTTCTTTCTTATGACTATTACATAAGAGACAAATAACCTCCTATCTTATCTGAGTTACTGTTTTTGAGGCCTCTGTCTAGGAATTAGAAATATTACAGGCTCCCTGGGTGACTCATTCTCATGCTCAGTGGTAGTCAAGGCTGACAATATGAGCAAGATTCAAACTCACTGCCATTGAGTCATATTCGACTCATGATGACCCCTTCTTGGGTTTCCAAGGCAGTATCACTATAGAATTAGGTTGCCCAACCTTCCTTCTGAGGAGTGGCTGGTGGGTAGGAACCGCCAGCCTTCTGGTTAGCAGTCAAGTGCCTTAGGCACTATGCTACCAGCGCTCCCTATGAGCAAGACTAGTTTTGTTTATTTGATCTTCTGACTGGAGGGAGAGGGTTGTTTTCTAGGCTAGGTTAGTCTTAAGTTAAAATGGATAACTTTGTAGTAGCACATCCATGGAAAAAGAGAGACAATGGGAAAAATGTCACATTGAGTAGATAATGGAAACAACTAGAAGCAAAACAGTATGTTGACCTCACTTTCCTCTCTAGCTCTACTCTTTTTTTTGTTGTTGTTGTTGATATTATATCCTTTTTTGTAAGAATAAATAAACTTTGCGTCTTAGTTATCTTGGTCACTTTTCAGTATTTAAGAATGAATACAGGCCCCACCCCTACAGTTCTGATCCCCTATGTCTAGCATGGGGCATTTATACCAGGCATCCAAATGATTCTGATGCAGTGATTTGTGAATTACACTTTGAAAAATTCTGCCAAAGAGACTTCTAGGCTTGATTTAAGAAAATGACTGCGATTGATTTTCAAGTGTACTCAATGTAAGGTTTGGAATAAATCATGTGCTCTGAAAATTTTAAGATTCTGTAAAAACAAATTATTATTAATCCAAATCTGATACTAAAGATGGCATGAAAATGAAAATAAAAAATTTACCTTAGCTTGGATTTCCATTTTCAGAATTGAGCCAATGATCGTCAATATATCACTAATAATAATCATCATGTACCATCCATTGACAAATTCCATCTGATCAGAAACAGAAACTTCCTTCTTATAATGGAGGAGGAAAAAATTGACAAATTCCTTCAGGGAAAAGAGAGGAGAGCCTCAGTGAACCTCTCTGTCAATCAAAATGTCAGCAGCTTTTAGAAAGCAACAACCCCCACCTGCTGAAGCTGAAGTCCTCTAATCACAGATCGAGCACAGAGGATTAGTGAAGCCAGGCAGGTCAGGATGACAAAGGCATCAAAGATCATCATGTAATGAGTGTTCTTTTGAACTGGAAGGAAAGAAGATAACCCATTGATGTAGTAGGACATTAATATGGGGATGTCTACCTTTTTTTTTTTAAGGCTAATTTAGATAATTCAAGTATTATTTCCATAAGGACAACAAAGAGAAGAAGCTCCTCTGATAAAGATTCTTCCAGTTGGTATTTAGAGAAGGTTAAAAGTCCTTCTTGCAAACATCACCACAGCCATCAAAGATCTTCGATTGCAAGCTAGTGATCTTTTGTTCTTAATACCGTTAACCCTCCTCCATATCCTATTAAAATTAAATTTATCTAGGTATACAGTATTTATTAACCACCCCTGTGTGAGAGGTTTTACCAGATGCTGAAGATATAGTGATAAACAAGATAGACAAAGCCCCTCTCTGATCTTATGAAACTTTTATCCTACTGGAATGAGACAAGCAAAGAAGTGAACAAGAAATGAACAAAATAGCTTCAGCTAAGAGTGGCATTAAGAAAAAAAAAAAAAATAGCTAACATGTATTGAGAGGGTGTGGGTTAGTGAATTACTTGGTATGGTCTTTGTGACTCCCACCAAATTACTGGGTAGTACCATGAAAATAAGTTGTATAGAACTCTAATGTTGGGATTGGTTAGTTTTGTCACTCTGCCAGGCTTAAAGTGAGCCTTCCTAGAGACAGAAAGGGGGAATCTCACTGCCATCAAGAGAAAAGAACTTGAGTTGGAGTGGAGCGTGTCCTTAAGACCAGAGATCTCCTTGGACCTGAGATCCCTGTGCTTGACCTCCTTCACAGAAAGATGGTAGAGATTACCGGCTGACACACCTGGCTAAGGAACCAAGAGGCATGAGATCAAGATTTGTTGGAAGAGAACTTCCCTGATATGATGAAAAATAAGAATATATCCATTCAGTAAGTCCAACAAACCCCAAAAAGGACAAACTGAAAAGAAAATCACCAAGACATGTCATCATCAAACTCATCAAAACCAAAGACAAAGAAAGAATCCTGAAAGCAGCATGGGAAAAACAAAAAGTTACTTATAAAGGACAACCAATAAGAATAAGCT